TTCCTGATAATTACTTATTGTTTGAAGCTAAAGATTGAAGATCAAACTATTACTGACTTCTCAGAGTAATAACAATGAGGAAGAATTCCATGTTACTAGAAAATGTAGATGGAAATTTTAGCTTCTTGCATCTACTTTTAGCTATGAGAAGCTAAGTAGCAATCATTCTCACAAGAAATTGATTTCGTTTAGTAGTTCTCATCTGCTGAGGGTTCTTGAAGTTCTGCCATAATCCTGATAATGCAGCAGCAATCGGACTTCATACCAAGTCTTTCTTGATGCAAGCTTATAATGAAGTAATAGATGATTAATGCTGCGATTCGTTTTGCTTGTTCTTCTTCTTTAATCTCATGAATAATTATTGAACTGGATAACTTTTCACTCCCCTCATTTTCAACCACATTTTGTATTCATGTAAAGAACTTGAGTTTGTGTGACTGACTTTTGGTACTAGTTCCTTCCTGTTTTGGCTTCTTTATACAAGACTTTGTGATGACAAATTATGGAAGACCATAGAAACAGATAGATGATTTCCAAATGATGCAATCAATTTTATTTGACAGTTTAATCCTCTTATTTGGAGCTTCTTCATGGTTGCCATATCTATGTTGTCAAGGCACTACTCCACAAGAAAACAAGATCCATGTGAACTATTTGTCACTATATGTGTTTCTGCAGAACCAATTCTTTTTTAAAGCAAGCCTATAATTAGATAATGGATGATAAGAGCTGCTAGTTCTTATTGCTTATTGTTCTTCTCTAATTTCATGAATATTTAAACTCATTAACTTTTCGTTCCCCCCCATTTTCGACCACGTATTATATTCAGATACAGAAAAAGCTTCTATTTCACAGTTCACCCCACCTTTTGCTTCTTTACATTGGACTTTGTGATGATAAATTTTGGAAGATCAGAAGACTTTTGCTATATTGGCTAACAGGTAGATGGTTTCCAAATTAAACTATGACTTTTATCTTACAGTTTAATCCTCTTATTTGGATCTTCTTCATGGTTGCATTATCTCTGTTATCATGGGCTACTCCACAAGAGAACAAGATCCATGTGAACTATTTGTCATTACATATGTTTCAGCAGAAGCAATCAGCAGAACCAATTCTTTTTTGAAAGCAAGCTTATCAGAGCATATTTGACGGTTGAATCCTCTTATTGGGATTCTCTTCATGTTAGCCATATCTATGTTGCCATGGGCTACTCTACAAGAGAACAAGATCCATGTGAACCATTTGTCATTACATGTGTTTCAGCAGAACCAATTCTTTTTCAAAAGCAAGCTTATGAAAGCATATTGGACAGTTTGATCCCCTTCATGTTAGCCATATCTATGTTGCCATGGGCTACTCTACAAGAGAACAAGATCCATGTGAACTACTTGTCATCACATGTGCTTCAGAACTTCTCCCTAGTAATGCATAAGATGCTAAACTTTGTTTGCAGTGACTTTTCCCTTGTAAAGGCTGTTGAGGCAGCTTACTTTTGGATGATGTTAGGTGCTCACTTTTACCTTTGTTGGATGCTTTGCAGTTACCCAATCATGCAACATTCTCTTTTCTAAAGGAAAAGATGGAAGTGTATTCATTTTTTGTGTTGGCATGCACATTTCTTGCATTTCCTTGTTCTGTACTTTGGCCTGGCTGCTGATGATGGCAACAAGGAGGGTGGAGAGTTAAGCCTGGTGTGCTTCCATGATGCTTCATTCTCTTTTCTTTTCTGGTGCCATAAGCAAAGCTGCATGGTTTGTAGGTATGCTTCAGAGTTCAAATCAGCATCTCTTGTCAATGGGTACTGTGACTCTCAGCCACCACAGCACACCTCTAGTTTGAAGGGTGGAACATGTTTGTCTTGCTGAACCCTTATAAAAGTCAAACCTTATTTTCTGCTCATGTCTTGTGATTTCAAATCCTTACAGCCCACACTCTCATCTGAAGGTCTCCCCATGGGTGGCAAAATGAATCCATTCAACTAGTTTACAATTATTTGGGTGTCTTTATATTTATCTAAATGTCTTTATATATTTTAATATAATAAAAGTTAAATTTAATTTTTCTACAATAACCTAGAAAAATGTCCAGATTCTTTACATGTGAGTTGGTGTCCATAGCCTTGGCTAGATTAACTCAGACTCATTCTAATTTGCTGCATCATATATCTATATATATATATATATATATATATATATATATATATATATATATATATATATATATATATATATATATATATATATATACTCTTGACTGATAAAAGTTGAGTCAAGCAAATATATGTACTCTTCACATGCATTGCAATATAGTAAGCCTAATTATGTTTACATGCGAATTGATTATAGATTATCTCATGTAATTAATTTTATAAATTTATTTTTTAAATCTTATATAAAGATACCAATATTTTATTTTTATAAATGCAGGGATTTTAATATAATTTTTAAAAGTATAGAAATTGAGTTGCAATCATAATATCTATCTTGTGTTGGATTGTGCTCAGCCTACTGCAGCCTGATCTCATGACAAATGGAGCCACAGACAAGAAGAAGAAGAAGAAGAAGAAGAAGTGGAGTTTGGATGCACATGTGTGTGTGTGTGTGTGTGCATGCACTTGTCTACATACAGGAGGATCAACATAGGCAATGTAATGGGGTTTGAGTATGATGCATTGGAGGTTGCATTAATCTTAAGTTCTTACTTAGCCTGTTGATACCATGACAGAGTCTTCCAAGTCAAAAAAGGTTTGAGTCCCACACTATCATAGATGTGCAAGAACTGAAGTCTCCTCACCCTTGGCAAACTGATGGCATAAACTATGGTGATATGAGCATTGCAAGAGCAGACAAGCCAAGGCAGGCATGCAGTAAACAAATCCACCTCTCTCTCTCTCTCTCTCTCTCTCTCTCTCAACCCACAATCCCACAAACACGTATCAGAAAACAGGCCAAAACAAGAATATAATTAGGTGAATGATCTTTATGGAGGCTATGTCCCAGAGTAGCCTAGCTATTATCTATCAACTCTCTGCTCTTGTATCCTTCTTTCCCTCCCCAACAGCGACCATTAATTCTCGTTTAACTCCTTGTTTTACTCTTGCTCTAGCTTTTCTCCCCTCTCTCTCTCTCTCTCTCTCTCTCTCTCTTCACGTTGGTCATCGTGCGTGGAAATGATCGAGTAGTTATTCTTACCGAGAAGGCACGGGCGTCCGCTGATTTCTCCTAGGCCAAATCCCGCTTCCACTCACCCCTTGATTACTGTGTTCTCTCTCTCTCTCTCTCTACACTTCTTGGTAAACTGTGCTAGCTAGACTTGAACATGGGCATAACTATTGATGTAAACATGTGCTCAGTGTGGACCATTGATATGATCCACTCTGCTTTTTTGGAGTTAAAGATGGGTTAGATATCAGTATTAGATGTTCCCCATGAGGTCGTCGTTCTCTCCCAGACGCCACTGGTTGCCCACTTACCGTAAGAAACGCTCTCTCTCTCTCTCTCTCTCTAGTAATAGAACGAGCTTATCTTACGACTTCCCACACAACAAAACGACTTCTGATCTCAAGAAGAGTAATGAACACACTGCATCGAATCAAACCCTAGAGGGAGGGCTGCTTATATAGTTAACTTCCTTTCTTCTTCTACTTAGTTCCATGGACGTGGCACCAAAGCATGCATGCATGCACGTAAAACCCAGGATACAAGAAGACATGCAGATCGCGCCTGTGAATGTTCATAAAACACAGGCCATCTATGCATATGTGTGTGGCTGCTGCTAATGGATCTTCGCACATGAAGATAAAGCAGCTAATTTGCCTTGCTGAAAACCCTAGAGGTGAGTGACTTCTTGCTTGTGTTTGTCTTTTGGTACAAACAAGCATTTTATTCATAGTTTATCGTATTCGTTCTATCTATGCCATGTGTTTTTACCTTTCTTCCTTCTTTGACGGTCAAAGGTTCGGCAAGCTTTGCATTAACCGAGATAAGAACCACTCATATCTTACCCTCTCTCTCATCTCTCTCACCACCAATAGTAATATTGTTTAGGGCCTTTGGCAAGGGTTTTGGAGAATGAAATGAATAAGTCCAATGACCCGGAAGACGAGGGTTTGTGTCCTCATTCGGGACACATATAGCACGCTCTGTGATCCTTTAACTATTCTCTCTCTCTCTCTCTCTCTCTCTCGTTCTTTACCTTCATTTCTTTGGTATTAGGTAATGCTGGGTCTATCTAGAGAGACAGCCCAAGAGGAGAGTCCGGGTTGTGCAGAGAGACAAGGTCAACATGGGGGTGGGGGGGATAACAAGATGAGAGAGGGAGAATGGTTGACTTCAAAGAAGTTACTAACAAAAATTATCTCATGTTGCTAAGAGAATCAAATGTCTTCATTTCACTCAACACTCATTTGGTGTAGTATGAGATCTAATCAGTCACAATTAGATCATGAAGAACTACAAATGTCAGGTGGTCAAGCACTTCAGCCTCCTATCCTAATTTAGATTAGTGTCCATATAACAGTACATTAGCATATAAAAAGGCATTAGGATCAATAAAGTATTATCAGCACTCTTAGGTCTTTGAAGGACATAAATCTATTGGTTGAAACACACAAATCCTATATATGCTGTGATCATTCTACCCTCACAACATGAAATCACATTTTAATGGTGAAGTAAAATGCACAATACCTAAGCCTTTGATATTTTTGCTAATTACTATAGTTTGGAATTGACTTTAATCTTTAGGTTCAGATCATAAACTTACTCATATCTACTTTCATGATTCTCTCTGTGATTACCACTATTTGTCTCTAATCTTTTTCTCCCAATCCTCCATTATTGAGCATGCTTCTAGCTTATGTTACATGTGCCTAAACTACATCTTAGGGAAAAAGTAGGCTTCATGTTTGTATAGAGAGAGAGAGAGAGAGAGAGGTTGGCAACTGTATATAAACTTACTGTTGGATCCTGTTTGGAACTGTTCTTGTCTCAGTTTGCCTTGACCTTTTCCCCTCTCTTCCAAACCTTCTTGGTGCTTGGTTTGTTGTTGCACTCTGGTCTCTGCCTTCACATTCTTGGATTCTAGCTTTTCCTTGCTGTGTGAGGCAGATCCACAGTCTCTCCCTCCTGCTCTCCAACACATTCCTGAGTCCTACAATGGCTTCCATGAATCACCACTGGTTAGCCTTCTCACTCTCCCCGCAGGAGCTCCCTTCCTCACAGTCTCATCAGCACCACCCGGGCGATGATGTCTCCACTGACTGCTTTGGCCTCTATGCCTCGTTTGGATTAGTGGATGCCCTCAATAGACCCCATCATCAAACCCAAGGTCAATGGCTCCCCGATGCTCAAGGCATCATCAGCACATACTCTTCTAGCTTTCTTGGTTTCATCTTTCCTTCTCTCATCGTTGCTCGCAGATTGGAACTCGAAGAGTTTGGACTTCGATGGAGGCGCCTCAGAGCTGTCCATGCTGGTTGGATCGAACGGTAGCAGAAACAATGCGGTGGAAGAAGAGCCCAAGCTCGAAGACTTCCTTGGCGATGCATGTGGGAGCCGTGGCATGTACATGTTCTCCGACACTTCATCTGTGACATCGAGCGCTCGCGATGGAGCCCTGATGGGCAACCCTATCGGAGTGTCGACGATGAAGACATGGTTAAGGAGCCAACCCACCCCGTACCAGCAGGCCAATAACAGCAGCAGTGACACGGCCGGGGCAACTACTGGCCAAGCCAGTGTTGTTCTGTCGATGAGCATGAGCACAGGCTCACAGTCGGGCTCCGCGTTGCCTCTACTGGTGACTGAGGTGAGCTGCGGAGGTGAGAGTTCCTCCTCAGACAACAAGCAGAAAGCCATCGGAGGCAGCCTCGACTCCCAAACTGGTGCAATAACAGCAGCTCCTCGGAGATCTGTCGACACATTTGGGCAGAGATCTTCCATCTACCGCGGTGTGACGAGGTCTGGCATGTCTTCTTCAGATGAAATCTAGCATTTTCTACTGCAAACTTAACATTTACTCTTTGATTAGTAGCAATAACTCCAAAAGTCTATGATGTGCTTTCAGGCATAGATGGACAGGCCGATATGAGGCTCATCTATGGGATAATAGCTGCCGAAGAGAAGGACAGGCACGCAAGGGTAGACAAGGTACATCAACTTGCATCATTCTCATTCGATTAGTATTAAGCCTCTTCTTCTATCTTGTTTCTCACCATCTTTGATGCAATATGTGCTGCAAATGGCTCCTCCTCATCCAAATCCATGCAGTCTATTTAGGTGAGCATTGAACCCCTTCATGATGACTCCTTTCTCCCCTTTCCAGTTTGTAGGCAATAACACATGTTGGTGGTTTTGTAGGGGGCTATGACAAAGAAGAAAGGGCTGCAAGGGCTTATGATTTGGCTGCTCTCAAGTATTGGGGTCCAACCACTACAACAAATTTCCCTGTATGTTAATGTCCCTTCTCTCCCTCTCTCTCTCTCTCTCTCTCTCTCTCTCTCTCTCTCTCTCTCTCTCTCTTTGTTATCTCTTGTATTTTCTCTTGTTTCAAGTGATTGATTTATGTTTTACTTGATCATACTTAGATAAACAACTATGAGAAAGAGTTGGAGGAGATGCAACACATGACAAGGCAGGAATTTATTGCATCTATTAGGAGGTAAGTATTCTCATTGATGTATGTATGTAAGTATGTATATGATTCTTAGATCTGATGTTAACATAAATGGCATACTTTGCATGCAGAAAGAGCAGTGGATTCTCTAGAGGAGCCTCTATCTATCGTGGAGTAACCAGGCAAGCAGATTTAGATTTCATTTAGAACATCAACCTCTTTGTCTTCACTTTTGTTGATATTTCACTTCAGATCAGTCTTTCCAATGGAATACTTTCCTAATTATAGATATATATGTCCCCATGTTTCAGACATCATCAGCATGGGAGATGGCAAGCAAGGATAGGAAGAGTAGCAGGGAACAAAGACCTCTATTTGGGAACCTTCAGTAAGTTTTGTTTGTGCATGCATGTGGAATGTTGGAAGAAGTTGTATTTCTTCCATTTAAAGTAATTTGATAGAAATAAAAAGATTAATTTGAAAGGAAAACTTAGGTTAGATCATAAAAAAAAAAAAAAAGATTTAGTCAAGACAAGAGTTGAACTCTTTTTTCTTAAAACGAATTTGTTCTACGGTATGGTTTCACGATATTTGTCTCTTAAGAAATAAACGATTATTTTTTATGATAGTATGCCTTTATACTTTAAAGATCTATGAAAATAAAATTTAATTTTTTTTATAGAATGAATGCAATAACCGACAGACTCGTTAGGATAAAAGATTATATTTATTTTAGATTGGATGAAAAATCATGTTTATTAGGCTGAAAGGTTATGTCAATTCGAATGAAATACCTCGTTATCAGAAAATAATTTTAACGTACTATGTTGGTTCCAACATAGAAGAGGTTGATCTAATGGAGCTTAATGCACTCCTTAGGCTTAGTGTTCTAAGCTTCTAAGTGTAATCTTCAGGCACCCAAGAAGAGGCAGCGGAGGCGTACGACGTCGCTGCCATAAGATTCCGGGGGCTGAGCGCGGTCACGAACTTCGACATGAACCGCTACGACGTGAAGAGCATCCTCGAGAGCAACACCGTCTGCGGCACAGGCAAGCGGCTGAGGGATGTGGCGTCCGAGCATGCCGAGCATGCCGGGCGGCGGACTATCGCCTTCCATCGACCGCAACCTCTGGAGCTGAGCGGCCTCCCGTGCAAGCAGGAGGAAGACGCCGTCGTGGCCGCCGCTCATGGCCTTGGTGGCCTCCACCAACTCCATCTGGGGACCGACACCCACAGCTTCTTCCAGCCAAACTCGGCGCTTCACCACCTTGCGAGCGTCGACTCTTCGTGGCTCGAACACAGCACTGGGTCGAACTCGGTCACGTACAATGGCGTCATGGCCGGAAGCAGTGGGAGCTATCAGGGTAGTGAGAAGACTTTCTATCTCTCTCAGCAGTCGCCTTCCGGTAGCGCCACTTGGACGCCAGCAGCAGCTCAAGCTATGGCATGGAGGTCAAACTGCATGGCTGCGGCTGCTGGCCATGGAACTCCTCTGTTTACAGTATGGGATGATGCTTAGATGATTCTTCATTCTGTGTTTTGCTTAGCTTTTTGGCATGACAACTATTGTGATAGTTGGTAGCAATGGCTTGTGAGACTTTGGAGACTTCCCACAGCTCTCACTAGCTATTAATTTTGGTGCAGCTCGGAAGTATCCACCATTAGAGAGAGGCTCTGTAAAGTTGCTGAAACGAATGATCTTTTTGAAAGAGCAAATGATTTGATTCGCATTTCCTTTTCTTTCTATCAGATCAAATCATATAACTGATACAACATGCAGATCTACAAGCAATATATATAAAGATACTATCAAATGAAAGATGGAAAATTACTTGGTGTCCTAAATAATATCAAGAAAACACATTGTCCTAAAGTTTCTCTTCATTGACAGGGTTATGCATGACAGTGAGAGTGAGATAATAGTGAACTGAGAATGGCAGAGAAGAGGAGATAGTGATCTCAGGACTGAGTAGCTAATGCTGTCAAGATCATGCTAATGTTTGACTTAATTATTGTCAAATGATGATTTGTGTGATCCACAGGGTGATATAAAGTCAAAACTTCAAGTCTTTTACCTAAAAGAAAATATTTTTATTTCTCCAAAGAAGAACACACAACTATTTTGTGTGTGTGTGTGTGCATGAAAAGGGACATGCAGTTACTGTGAATGATGAACACCGCAAATAATAGGAACATTTAAAGCAACAGTAAGCAATCAGTGTTGTTTAGATCAGTGAATTTAAAGCCCGGTAAAGCGACTAGCAAAATACATATCTATATAGAAGAATATAGAGATGAGATGTTCGAGAAAATTGCGCTTGCGCTTGAAAAATCACAATAAAAACTCATCTTATATTCATACCATTATCATAAATATTTGTGAATACAGGATAAGTTTTCCTAATCAAATCTAGGAGAATTACCATGACTATATATAGACAATCAGATGACAACTTGACACAGCAGACAATCCTGCAAAATTGCTCGACGGGCACTAAAGTGTTCCATGGAGGCTACTTGAACAATCATGATGGCTGCTGCAGCTGCTGCTTCTATCTGTTCTTGTGGGTGAAAAAGTGCGACGGTAAATGGTCTTCGTGGTTGTCTCAATTTCCATGATGGCTTGTCGCCACATAGGAATCTTGCTTGGGCAAAATTGTAACAGAAGAAGGCTGCTGATTGACGACGCCGGAACTTTGGTTCTCGACTACAGTAGTGGATCCTCGAGTCAAATTTCCCATTGCAGCCTCTTCATCCTCTCGCTTGTCCTGTTTGTCGGTAGCCACTGCAACCTGGGCAGTTTCCACTTCTTTCTTACTTCTGCTTGATTGATGCAAAAGACAGGTTTAGTCATCTAGAAAAGTGTCATAAAAAAGGAACAACAAGGAACATGAACTTGGACAACATGTACATTGAGTAAATCACAAGTCCAACTGCAACACCTGCGAAAGCTATGAAGTACATCCAGTCGACCTGCAGGGCGATAGAATTGATTTGTCTCATGATTCATAGCTTTACAGTTATAGTAATCACAGCACATTAACCTTTTGGTGATACGCAAAAATGCGGATTAGAACAGCCCACATGTCTGAGGTCAGCAGTGAAAGGTTGAGCAAGGTGGCTCCACATATCTGCATGATGATAAACAACAAAAAGAATGAGTGAGCGAGAAAAATGAAGTGAAGCAGCAAAATAGATTGTTGATTCCTCGTTTCACCAGCTCTACTTAATTCTTAGACTAACAACCACCATATTGTAATTTTGTCAGCAAAGAAACAAAACATAGATAATTTGGTTATAATATAATTCAACTGTAGCTTTCCCAGTGAGAGATTTTTGAAGCAGGAATACAGCTAGAAGAAAACACATTACAATTAGCAGTCTAGTTCAGCTCACTTCCCATTTTGACAGAAAGTTAATCCAACAGAGAGAAATTGTTATCTTAGTTCTTAGCAGCAAACTTCTCTTGTCAGTAGGAACAATATATTATCACCATTATCAATTTTCCTTTTCATGTTTGTGTCCATTAATCGACTTTTAAGACATTGGCGAGTATAATAGCATTTAGCGCCATAGGTCCAACAATTGAAAGAAGTAAATTTTCATCCTAGATGGTATGTGCCTGAACAGCATAACTCTTGCCTATCGTATGGATCTACCTTAAAACCATTTGTTGCATCAACAGGTAGTGCAAAATGGAATTGATAAACACATTCAGAGCCTACCTTAAGAATGATAGGGACAGTCGAGTAAAACAGGAACATAGCCAAGACATATCCAAGAAATGGTAGCACCTGAAATCACATGTTCAGATAAAACAAATTGAAAACAACAAATCTAGGGAGAGAGAGAGTGAGAGAGAGTTACCACACCAGCTGTCCAGTTGAGATCTTTAAGCTCGTTGCGCTCGAGAATGCTTCTAGGAAAAATTAAGGAGAACAAATGAAAACATAAACTGTCAAAATCCAAATTTGAAGAGTTTGTGTTCTTGAATCGCCCTTTTTTTTTTTCTGTTTTGATAATAATAAAACCATTAAACAAAAACTATCTACGATTAAACAGGATGATGCATAGTTTCAGCTTGATCTGATCCAAACACTAGCTGAAGATTTTGACCCACATGACACAGTATAGACAAACTAAAGACGGATATTTCCTAGTAAAGTGAAGTTGAGTAAGAGTGAAAAAAATTGGTTCATTCAAAAAGTAGTGTCCATATGCCTGAAGAATTATTTCAACATCTTTCATGAACATATTGAGGTCATCAACAGAAAAGAGAGAACCCAGAGAAATTATAGCACATATTTACCGTCAATTTGCTTAATATGACTTCAGTTACAAGAAGATACATTTACAAAGTACTGCAATATTTGTTGAATAATATCTTAATTAGAGCTACTCACTGCATGCTAAATAATATCAATAAGTGATTAAGCATAATATCAAGAAATGTGTTACAAACATTTATGAAGATTTTCTAAATCACTATCGAATCCGTGGATTCCCTTCCATACAACTTTAAAAATAATTCCCAGCTCCTCTGTTCATCCACTTTGGATTTGTTTATCATTATATCCTGATTCCCTGCAGCTTTGTGCTCATTTGTTGCAACTCTTAAACTTATAATTATTGATTACTCGATTAAGTGTTCTCTTATTTTTATCCATGACTATCTTTCTTGATCCACTCTATAATTTCTCATCATCATGGTCTCCTGTGTATATTTTCTCATCATTATGGTCCTTGAGTCCTTATGTAATCTCCATACTTTTCCTTATGTTCCCTTGCATGCATTGATTAAGTTCACCTTATGGCACCTCTCTATATCTTCAAACAGGATTTAAATCTCAGACTGCATCCAGTTTTGTCAACCAATCGAGGTATATGGGCAGTATGCAGATCTATTCCCATGCAATATCTTCAGAATAAAATAATGACCTATGTGATCTGCTATCGGTCCTTCATTGAATTGATAAATATTGGTTGGTGCCTACAAGGTCCAATCGGTATTTGAAATCCGACTTCAAAGTTCTAAATTCTAATCATCTTGATAAGTCCTTAGTTGGACCAACAAATATGACTATCTGCACATAAATGATCAAGACGCACACCATTGCTCTGTATGGCAGTATGCCTGTGTTGCAAAGTAGCTATTGGCTACAAGTGATACAATTTGCAGAAATGATTTGCCTGATGTTCTCTACATCTTGCTATATAAAGGGGTAAAAGATCATAAACCTGGAGATCATGTGGATAGTAAGAAGCCTAAACATTGCTTCTAATTCAGTACAGTAAATATACATAATATACTGAACCTCTGATAGAGGTTCGAACTAATTAAATTTCCTGAAATGTGGATGGATGATTGCCATTGACATTCTGCTATATATCATGCATTCAAAAAAAGGCCAAGGATACATTTGAATAGCACTAATAACTGCTCCGAATATTCCAAGCATTGCCATCAACTCAACTCTATCTCCCTTCTTGACAATGAATTCCTGATGAATGATGAACATAACATAAAAATTTCCTTAGTTGATAAGAGATTACTCTGTCCAAATTAAATTGAAAAAGGTAAAGTTTTAAGGAGAAATACATCACAAAATGATCAAACAAAAAATTGACAAAAAACGACAAGGGAAAGAAGAAAGATTTACTTAAACTCCAGTAAACCATATATGTTCAATCAACTTGTTACTTTTCATATTTATAAACTACCTCCAGAAGTCGTAGAAGGTTCCTATGAGTACAAACTCCAGTGATGAGGTCACATATGGAGTGATACTTAAAACAGAGAAGGGTCTATCAAAGAGGCAACCCTTTTTGTGTTTTTCTTGACTGACCATCAACGTAATGTAAAGTAGATAGAATTGGTGCTAAATCCTAGTCAAGGCAATCTTAGCCAACAGAAAGCCAATTCAAGAAAAAATTATTGGAGGATAAAAAAGAATACTTGTTACAGTTTAACTTGTGCAACCATGAAGCAACCCTCCTAAGTTCCACTAGACCTAAAAAAAAAGAGAAAACGAAAGCCACACATTGGAATAAATGTTAAAGCATGAATATGTTAATGGGAAAAACCTTATATATATATATATATATATATATATATATATATATATATAACATGACTAATTTGCTTCCACTAGAATTACTGAAATAAATATGGAGCAGTAGTGCAGTAAACATGAAAGCTCCTTACAGCCTTTCTTTTCCAAAGACCACATGATGACATCAAGAAGGAAGAAACCAATTTCTTAGACAATAAAGGAAACCAAGAACCTTACATGTTGGCTATTCTTTCCCACCTTTTCCTATATATAATGCTTCTCCTCTCTCTCACTCCACACCTTTCCCACTTTATTGACAAATGGACCATCATGGTACATGAACTCCCTTCAATAAAAGAATCATGATTCAATGTAAAAACAATGATCAGTTGCATTATTGGAAGACTGTTGTTCACCTTCAACAAACCATGTTCAAGAAAAAAATCGTTGACATGTCATATCCCCTCAAAAGGAAAATTTCATATCTTTTGAAGGCATCAAAAGTAAGATAATTCAAACTAAGAGAATTTAGCAACACCAGAGAAGAAAAAAAGAGCATCTTAACAAAGAAGGGAAAGTAAAATGAATACCTCACCAACATTACTAACAGCATATAGAGTAGACCCAGCAATGATAAACAAATCACCTTTCAAAGGGTTGGGACCTCCTGTAAAACACAGAATATGACCAAAAATGAGGGGAGATGTTATCTATGTATCTACAACAGAACAAGAATTTTTATATAGTTTGTATATGTCAATAAAAATTAGGATGAACAATCATACTCCTTTTGCACCAACAGGAGGCTTTTTTGAGAAAGTTGTCGTTTTCTTATAGAATCTTGCTGGATTAGTTGTCACTTAATAAGGAAAAAAGATGTGGTTCATTTCACTATCTTCTGTAATGTGATATATGGACTATTTCAAGCTTGCATAAAGGGGAAGTTAGATTACAACACAGTAATGAGCTAATTAATAGAGAAGAAAATATGGGAACTGCAATATTGTTTATTACATCGGTTTCAGCTTCTTCAAGAGACTTCCAAATTGGAATAATAAATTGAAAGAATGCTGAAAGTAGATTCACAGCAATTTGCCTTTAGTTTTAAGAGCCAAATTTCGTAATTATGGAGCAATCAACGGACAAAGGCATTTTAAGATATATTCAAATGGGGAGATGCATGATGCAAAAGTGACTAAGAGATGGACTGACAGGGTATGACTACTGGTTTGCTGATATATATTTGGGATATAACAACCAAAGGTCGAGTTGATAAAGCACAAGGCAGCAAGAAGATCATGAGAATGACATGAAAAGGGCAGCTGTTAGTTCAAACTTAAAAAAATAAGAACCAAAACAAATATGTAAATCATAATATCATGATTCAGAATGTGAGTCAAAGTGAAACCACACTTCCTAGACTTTGCATTTGTAGAGATCATGTGCAAAAGGCTAATTTGCATTTGTGCTGACCATGTTTACAAAGCCAAACCTTATATCCAGTTAAATGACAAAAAAGAAAAGACAAGTACAACAAATCCATCACTTATAACCTTCCAGTAAAATTCTAAGCCAAATTAAAAGACAAAAACCTCTAATCATAATTAAATTTTAGTGAATGCAATCATACATGTTGAAATTGGATTATAACGAACAGGATAATAGAATATGCAACTCCTATTACTATCACAATCTGAAAAGGAATACAGAAAGTTGCACAAGAATCAAGTTACCTTGTGCACGGTCTTTAGCATGAGCATCAGAGAACACAACCATTACAAGGCCAGCAACACAAATAGCAACACCAACAAACTTCCTTAATCCGTATTTTGTCTTCAAGAACAACCACGTGAAAAGTATAACACATGGAATTGCCCAACAGTCCAGAAGCATGACGCTTGTCAAAGATGTGTACTGGTAGGATTTGACAACTATAAAACATAGTATAATTTAGGTATATTAATATGAAAATCAACAATTTTTAACAGGTAAAGAGAAATTTTTTTATCCAAAGTCTAAAAACCAAATGACTAAAATAATTTTTATTTAGCTAATATATCTGATTAACCCAATAACAGAAGTAAATTGTTTCAAGTTTTATTGCAAGTGAATAACATGAAAAACATTAAAGGTAGGTTGGTCATTGCTGCAGGCTACAGAAATCTACTCCCCTTGGACCCACCTCATTCACAATCAAGGCAAATCTTAACCTAACCTATCCTCTCAGGTTCACTCAGGTTCAGGTTTATCCACATAAAATTTTCATATGATTGCATTTTGGAAAAAAATGCAATATATACAAGAGCAGCAGTGTGTTACATGGCAACAGGAGTATGGAGCCAGTGTGATGATAGTAGCATGGCCTCAGTAGCTAAACTATACGAAAGAGAGAGATAAAGAGAGAGAGAGAGAGAGAGAGAGAGAGAGAGAGATCACCTACCAAGAGAACATCATGGATTTTGGTTGAGAATCCAACTTTTTTCATCAGAAAGGCAAATCATCCATGCAATAGATAAAATGTTATCATGTAGTAATCACAAAGTACTACTCACCAATAAAATTGGCTTCCACATCAACAGCAGCAAGCATCAGATAGTAGTACCAATTTATCTGTAAAAAAATTCAAGTGAGATGTGAATTATTATTCCAATTCATCAATCAATAAAACTTATGGTAAGTGCCAAAGACCTTATGAGCTAGTAAATTATACACATGGAAAAATATGCTAAAGGAATTATTCTTTCGCTAATATTACAGGATAAAGTCCTTATTCATAGCTCTCAGATGACTGGATAAAATATGCCTAGCATTCAGTCCAAAGGAATCCTGTGCACGTGAAAAGAGAATAATTCTCAGCATGTATACAGTCAAATGCGATTGAAAAAGCTACATGCATATATAAAGTCCTTCACACGGAAGAAGCATGTTAGTGAAGACCAATTATCTGTGATTCCTCATCTTCTATCACAATCAAGTTCTAATTATTCATTCAATTGTGATAAAGTATTCACTCCAAAGAATGACAACTAACAACTAATGTTCAAACACGCAAGGCCACCAAAGATAATCCCCTGAGCAATCTGTGAAGGCTAAAGAACAAATCTTTCGGACATTTCAAAGCAACCAGTAAAGAAGCGATGCCAGGGAGCGATCGCAGCACCTGTAGCGGCCGCTGCCGGCGGACGACAAAAACACCGTAAAACATTGCCAGCAGAAGGTAATTCAAGAACGACTGCGACGTCGGAGCATTGACACCTGCAACGCACCACGGCCCACTTCAAGAAACCATGTAAAACCCAGATTACATCCAAAAACCTCCCCCAAAAAATTTCCACCTTGCTATCTTTGCAAAAACCAATCAGGCGAGAAGAAGACAATAACATCGAAAACGCAGAAAAAGGAGGGAAAAGATCCCCAAAAACCTCACCTTTGTGTTATCTTTCTGCAGACCGATCACCCAGAGAAAGACAATAACACCGTAAACAGAGAAAAGAAATTACCTCTTCTGACGAGTTCGGAGGAGGAGAAGCCGGTGGAGGTGATGAGGAGAGACACGAACTGCCCCAGAAGCAATCCCATCAGAGACCTCTTCGTCCATATCTTCCTCCACTTCTCGCGAATCGAGCGTCTCAAGGGTTCGGAAGCAACGACCGACGGCATTTCACAAGGGACGGGCACCGCTGCCTCGATAAAGATTGGACTTTTGTCACTCTGTGGCTGACTGCAAATACATATAGACGCGTTGTGTTGGCCTTCAAACCGAAGTCAGGCAAAAGGACAGCAATGGCGACAAGATGAGCTGTGATGATCGCTTGGGAAACATCGGACGGCTGTGAAGCGTTGACACCCCGCTTGATGACGCGTGCCTTTGGGAGTTGAAACCTCTCCTAATAGAAAACCATTCAATTGTTATTATTATTATTATTATTATTACGACAAAAGATCGTCCAATTTGTTAATGAAACATTAGGAAACTATATTATTTTGAGCATTATTCTATATTTGTTTTTACTTAAGGATATCTATTTTTGGTAGGACAAAAATAATTTGATCATATATACTATTCAAAAAAAAATTAATTATTAAAAATTCAAAAAATAAAAAATACTAATAATCTTAGAATAATTAAGACATGATTCTAATATGATTTACTATTTTCATTTTTTAAAAATATATGATAATTAATTATTAAAATTAATTATTTTTAAATAACATTGATGATCAGATATTTTCATCCAAGTAAAAAAAAAACCTCTTTTTTTGGATAAAATATATAATTATTTTTTACTAAAAAAAAAAAAAGTAAGTATAAATAAGCATGACAAAGTCTTAGTTGTTAGTAGATTATTATTCTAGCAACATAAAATTTATAAATATTTTTATTTTTTGATAAAAATAAATAATAAAGATGAAAATTTTTACCGTCTAATCGACTTGATATAATATTTCTATTAAAAATAGATGATGGACCAAATGATAATATTTTGGTCAAATTTGATTTGATTTGGATAATAAATAATTAATCTGATTTGATTTGCAGAAAATACAAACACTTCTGGTGGTGGGGCTCACAATGGACAACCAACCAATGGGAGGTATTCTTCTGGTGTCTACTAGGTAGGGTACCAAAATTCAATTGTAGCTGACGTCAACGAGAGGGTAGCATGACATCATCGTATATATATACATATATGAATTAAAATTTATAAGGGTAAATATAAAATTGATTATATGGGTGTGAAAAATTGTGATTGTTGGTATCTCAAATGTATGATTGAAGGGTGTACATGATGTGACTTTGATGTTTGACATGTTAATATTCCTTCAACATTGGCTATATTCTCTTGCATGAGAATAAGCATATATGCGGTCAAAGAAGGAGAAGGTTTGGAGATGGATAGACATGCTGACCACATCTCTCCTATCGACTCTATTAATTAATATATACCCCTTTTTTACTTGAATAATATTTTATAATATCAATTTATTATTGTATGACATATATAATATTTGCCTCTAATCACAAGTCAACGTGTGATCATATGTGGCAGCACATTATTACGCGGGCCGACTCGGACATGTTGCAGGCTTGCAGGGCCCACTGACGGCCCACGCACGAGTTCTGCGACACTGTTCGTGACGATTTTGGTTACGACCACACACGGCGAGCGCGGGATCAACGGTTGGGATCTTTCGCGACCGCTTTATCCGGATCCAATCACGGGCGAGAGAGAGAGAGAGAAGTAAGTGTGCGATACCGCCCGGTGATTCGAGGTGGATGAGTTCCACGCTTCGTCTTTGACTTCGGCTGCGACTCGTTCTTGCGAATTCAACAACCCACCTACTCGGGAACAGAATGATCGATTGAGAGGGTGTAGGAGAAGAGCGGGAAGTAATACTGAGGAGGAGGAAAGGGGATGTCGAGGTCGAACGCCTTCGTTGCGGCCTCTTCCTTTCTCCTTCCCAGCCCCAATCGCAGGACGCTCGCCTTCGTCTTCGTCGGCGCCTTCCTCTGCGTCCTCTCCTACCTCCTCGGCATCTACACTAACTACCGCCCCTCTCTCCCGCCCCAACTTGCCCCTGTCGCCCGCAACCCGGAGGACTGCCACCCGCTCTTGCTCCCATCCCCTTCGTCATCGGATGGCCCTCTCCGCTTCCTCCCCCGCCACGCCGCCGCCAACTTGATCCCTCTGGCCTCCGTCGATCAGCCATCGCCGCCGGTCCCCTTCTGCGCTGCCAACTTCACCCACTACTGCCCCTGCCAGGACCCCGATCGCGAGCGCCGGTTCATCACGGTCGACCTCGTGCACCGCGAGCGCCACTGTCCGGGCCCCGACGACCGCCCGCCCCGCTGCCGCGTTCCGCGGCCGCCAGGGTACCGCGCGCCTCTCCCCTGGCCGGCCAGCCGCGACCGAGCGTGGTTCGCCAACGTGCCTTCCACCAAGCTGAGCGAGGCCAAGAAGGACCAAAACTGGGTCAGGGTGGAGGGGAACTGGCTGGTCTTCCCTGGGGGCGGCACATCCTTCATCAAAGGGGTCAAGTGGTACGTCGCCGAGATGGCCAAGCAGGTTCCGCTGCGGAGCGGGGAGATCCGAACTGTTCTGGATATCGGCTGCGGGGTGGGTAGTAAATCCAATTTTGTTTTGTTCCTCTTTAATTGGATATGGATGTTGCTACGCTAATTGCTTATTGTAGGATATGGTGTTGATAATTTTAGCTAGATCTGGTATCATTACTAGTTTCGGAACCCTTTTTCTTGATAAATTTGCTTATTTTAAAGGGTGGATAAAATGAAAAGGTGGCTGACCTTATATTCTGGGAGGAATGCCAACTTTAAGTAGGAACCGGGAACAAAAAGATATTTTTGTTGTCATCTGTTTACATAACTAGCCCCTTTGTGCTTTTTGCTTTGTTTGTATAGGCAGTAATTCTTTGTTTTGTTCTCTGTATTAATCATTTGATTCATTGTTCATGGTGGCTGGACCATGTGGCTTTTTGATGCTTTTGGGGTTTATCTGTTTGGTTTTCATTTTATGAGCTTGTTATTGATTAAAATTCACAATGACTGTTTCCTTTGATCTGCTTTGGGTATCATGAGGCCTACATTGATTGCATTGTTGGAAACTTCACACTTTTAGGATGTGATTGATCATCCGGATGCATAGAACAGAAAACTTTTAGCTATGGTGGCACTCCGAGGTGGCTGAGGGATTTTTTTACAAGTTCATTGGCTCTTGCAGGTTGCCAGCTTTGGTGGCCATCTTCTTGACTATGACATTTTGACAATGTCTGTTGCACCTAGAGATATACATGAAGCTCAAGTACAATTTGCCCTTGAACGTGGACTTCCAGCAATGCTTGGTGTGTTAAGTATTCACCGGTTACCATATCCATCAAGGTCTTTCGATATGGCTCACTGTGCAAGGTGTCTTGTTCCCTGGAGTGGTCATGGTAAAAAGTAGTTTCTGAGATTCCATAATATAATCTTCAGAGATTTTTCAGTTTGTTTTTTTTTATATTGAGCTTAAACATCAGACAATTATTCAATTATTCAGACATAATATAATTCTGTCTGTTTATTTAGTTGCAGATAAGTATCTTTTGTTTATATCAAACACAAAGGGACTCCATAACTTGTGAGATTGGTAGGCGATAAGTGAATCTAAGAAGTCCTCTAGACTATACAGAATATTGAATGAAAAATCAAATCCTTTTATTCATTCACCATTATTTCTAACATGGTTTAAAATACCATCGATTGATATATAGTGGTTTGACCGATAATTGGTGGTGGACCATGCAACTTAGCATCTCTTGGTATACTGCTATCATTATACTGCATGATATCTCGGTATTGTATCTGCGTGCTAGGTTGTTGAAACCAGCATCAGATCGAAAACAATTCTATAGAAGGAAGAAAATTATGTATATGCGGGTGTATAATGAAATATGTGGGAGAAAATTTGCAAATCTAGATTTTTATAGCAAAGATGTGAGAGTAGAGAAGAGAAAAGAAGACCGAGTTCCATTACAGATAAGAGGTCACAAGGGATGGTGCCCATCCCAGGGGTGCTTACAAGATCCTAGCTTATGTCCTAGAAAATTTCTAATTTAATCTTCTTGAATATCAAAGGGTAGAATTAGCCTCAGGTCTCTTTGACCCTGCACTATCGAATATGATGAGATGAAATTGAGCTGGACAGAAAGCACCAACATGGGCCTTTATCTGTCGAGGTTGACAATGTGTAGGACCTAAGCCTTGCAGAGGTAGACTGAGTTGAGGAACCTGCCGAAACAAAGAAGGTTCTGCGACTATGTTCCAAAACAGTAGTTTGAATTAACTCTGAGGTGAAGAATTACCCAAGGTGGAAATTTTGGGAGAACAAAGCCTTGGAACATAGGAGATTGATCATTCTAATTCTGTTAGCCTTGAGGAGGTTCCTTTTTATCTTTTTATAGTGTGAAACCCTCATAATGACTCCTATGTAGATCAGTTTTTACAGCCTCAATTACTAGTTTCTTATCTTTATACACCACCTAATATTGATTCTTTATAATGAATTTTCATGTTTTTCATCCATTTTACTGTTTGTGAATGTTCTGTAAACAATTGTTGTTATTTCTCATGTAGTTACTCCTGATATCATTGTTGCTTTGAAGAAAACATAAATGATGCTAGTAAGGAAATTTGTAAGGAGATTGATGATTTGACATTAAAAATCTTTTTCAGATGGGCTATACTTGTTGGAAATTGACCGCGTTCTTCGACCTGGTGGCTATTGGGTTTTGTCTGGGCCACCCATTAACTGGAAGAACATGTATAAGGGCTGGGCACGGAAACGCAAGGATCTAGAAGCAGAGCAGAAGGCTTTAGAAGATTTAGCCAAACAACTATGTTGGAAGAAGGTTTCAGAAAAAGGTGGCATTGCTGTATGGAGAAAGCCCACTAATCATTTGCACTGTATTAAAAAGTCAAAGATTCTGAATTCTCCACCATTCTGCTCAGGAACTGACCCAGATTCTGCTTGGTAAGTTTTTTCTTGTCCCTTCTTAAAGTGCTACTAAGAGTATCCAAGCTTGAAGTTACATATACTATATGCATTTCTGGGTTTCTATACTGATAACCAGTTCTCATCTCCGGATGACCTAAGTAGCATTTAACCGGTCAATTCTTGGTGCTCCAAATAGGT